TGTGTGTTCAATATCATAATAATAATAATGAATCACATTTTTTATTAGAGCGCTTTTGCAGGTGCTCAAAGCGCTTTACAATTACACATTACACATATTAGACATTAGAGACATTACTGTGGACATTACCCACAGGAGCAAAGTCAGGTGAAGTGTCTGTGGCCCAGGGACACAACGGCCTGACGAGGCGGGTTTCGAACTGGAGTTCACCAACGCTGATGATCAACGCTCTAACCCACTGCGCAAAAATCACCCCATAAACCATCATAAACTCGTTTACATCAAAGTTTAGTCAGGAATCTGTTTTGGGACCATTTTAACTGTTTTAATGAAAGCACATAATGACACCAGATGCTATAAATAAAAGAAATCCCACAAAAATCAAGTGATCATTCCTTTTTCTCAAGAACAAAGTAGTATGAAATCATCCATGTTATTTTTGTGGCAATTAGATTAAATAACCCCATTTTACGACATCAAATCATTTAAAAAGAAACATTTGATCCGAGGACAACAGGAAGCTTAAATGTGATTTTATTATTTGTTTCTGTTGACTGAATGAAGTCTAAATGTCTTATTGTAAAGCACTTTGATTGCCTCGAGTAGAAATGTGCTCGTTAAATAAACTTTCCTTGCTTGTTTTAGGGGGAAAGAAAGGAGTTGGATGTTTATATTTCGTTTTTGTTTGAGATTTTCCATTGTTCTTAAACATGCATGTTGCTGGTTTTTCACAGGCACTTCTAACGGGGCTCTAATGAATGCACGCACATGATTTGTGGGGCGTTTGAGGACAGTATATGGGTCCATGTTCCCCCTGTAGTCCGACATGTATCTGCCTGAAATCAATAGTTATTAAAAATGTAAAAACGTCAAGGCTTTCCCCCGCAATGTTTTCATTTAGTATTATGTTTTATCCGGAGGGGGCAACGCAAACTGGAGACAGCGAGACAAACACGAGGCCAGACTTCATTCAGCGTGCTGTACACACACCGAAACTGATCTGTGTGTGTGTGTGTGTGTGTGTGTGTGTGTGTGTGTGTGTGTGTGTGTGTGTGTGTGTGTGTGTGTGTGTGTGTGTGTGTGCTGACGCTGGAACTCATTTGTGCGTGTGTTAGCATATTCTTATAGACTCATACATCTGTGACCAATAAAATTAAAGGCTCTCGTGAACGTACAGCGATCCAAAATGTTTAAATATGTGCTCGCTCGTGTGCATTTCTGTGTGACAGCATGTGTGTGTGTGTGTGTGTGTGATGCAGGGCTCTGTGTTACATTAGCATCAGGGGAGAGATTCTGTAATGAGTGCAACTACCTCCGTGGGAGACTTGCATAAAGCTCCATCTCAGTCCTGCAGCGTGAGAGGAGCGAGGGAAGGAGGTAACGGAGACACAGAAGCAGAGAGAGAGAGAGAGAGAGAGAGAGACGGATAGCACGGATGAAGAGGGTTAGCAGTGATGAAGAGGAGGAGGAAGAAAAGGGAGAGAAAAAGCACAGTCAAAAAGCAGAGCAAGCATAAAAAATACAGCAGTGTAAGGGTCTGTACACATGAGCTAGGCTAACAGCTAACAGTATCATCACCACTTCTTCATGGTGTTGTTTTGAAGTGTGTATTAAAGGGGACATATTCTGCTCAGTTTCAGGTTCATATTAGTATTTATATTTATCTAAAATCTTGCATAACACATCTCTTCTCTTTTCTGAGATGAATGTACTTGTATGCGAGGTCCTTGTTTAAATAAATACTAACAGCGTCCTCTCAGACTTCAAATTCGGTCCACAGAGAGTACAAATATGGTCACTTTCTGGTTTTATCCTGAACATTTCAGAAATGGACTCAGCATCCTCAATAACCCCCAAAACCACTTCAAAATTATCCAAATCGGCCAAGCCATTTTTGAACTATTGTCAACATACAGTAGGCTGTAATGCCATTAATGCTAATGAACACAACTTATGCTAATTGTGTAAGTTGCCCGACATGTGTGTGTGTGTGTGTGTGTGTGTGTTGTGTGTGTGTGTGTGTGTGTGTGTGTGTGTGTGTGTGTGTGTGTGTGTGTGTGTGTGTGTACCTGGTGGAGGGGGTGGAGGTGATGGAGCGTCGGCCCAGCGTCACCTGGTTGATGTTGTAATACCCGGGGCTGTCGAGGTCGGCCAGGGAGAAGTTCGGACCTGTCGCCGTAGCAACTGGGGCTGAGGGACACACACAGACAGATGCACACACACACACACACACACACACACACACACACACACACACACACACGCGCACACACACACACACACACACACACACACAGGCAGACGCACACGCGCACACACACACACACACACACACACACACAGACACACACACACGCGCACACACACACACACACACACACACACACACACACACGCACACACACACACACACACACA